GTGCCTAGCTATACTGCAATACCCCTCAAGGAAGGTTCCTTGATGTTGGTGAGGGGCTCTTGATTTAGGGAATTGGATCTGTGCTCCAGTTCCCCGAATTAAGCCTGAATGCCTTCCACATCCCCCCCCCCAGGCGCTGTATAATCCTCCGGGTTTAGCGCTTCCCCCTTGATTATAATAATATACTGCAATAAAAAGTAATGTAGAAATATTACAATTAACAACTACAGTGGAACCTCTACTTGTGAGTTTAATCCATTCCATGACCTTGCTCGCAACTGGATTTTTTTCGTTTGCAGAGTCAATTTTCCTCATTTAACCCTTTCAGGGTCGAGAGGCCCTCTCCTAAACTCGTTCTCAGGGTTGAAAATTTTTCGGAAAAAAAAAAATTATTTTTGCTTATGAAATGATAGAGAATCTTTTCCTGATCATAATGACACCAAAAGTATGAAATTTGATGGAAAACTTATGGAATTATGCTCTCGCGAAGTTAGCGGTCTCGACGATGTTTACACATTGGAGATTTTGCCCACTTTGAGCCCTATTTTCGGCCAATTCCTGTGTACTAGTTGACAAAAATCATATTTATTTTGCTAGAACTCCATTTTTTCTATCGAATGACTACAGGAAACCACACATTTACCAATTTCAACTATCCAATAAAGTGGTTAGAAATTGGCAATTTTGTCAATTTCACACAAATTTCAGAAGATGCCAATTTTCAAATAGGGTCCAGAATAAACAAGATAGATATTCCTGGCACTATAATAATGAGCTCTCTGTTCATTAGTCACGTCCCCAGGCCCCTCTTACATTTCTTTTGCTTTCCACTTTGAATTTTTATTCTCACAAAAATAAGATTTACTTTTACGCTGACTACTGCAATAGTGTAGAAATGGTATAAATAATATCAGCGCACTTGTGAAGGAACATTACTCACAAGGTGACATGCATTGGACGCTTGGCATGATTTGTTTACTTTTGAACTTTGGTAAATATTGAACATTTCTGCTACTTTGAGCTCAATTTCAAGGTACTTTTCATTGTGAAACCAATCAAAATCATCTCAATTTCTGTAAATGAAATGAGATGATAAAATGAGACCAGGAAAACTAGAATACAACCATAAATACCATACGAAAATACAGCGCAAAGTCGCTGTTTTAATCCAAAAACACGGTCAAAGTTTTTTTTTTCTCATTACGCACTGTGTGCTGCAGGATTTTTTTTATATTGCGCACACTGACCACATAGACCCATTCTTTCATATGTAGGCCTACCAGCTTTCTCTCACTAGATTTGAAGGCACTAGAATGTAGGCGTTTTAGTACATCAATAACCCTGGTGCATAAGCCGTACTCGTACGTCGGAAACCCTGAAAGGGTTAAATTAATTGAAATGCAATTAATCCATTCCAGTGGAATTCTGTACTTCAATAATTTCGCTAATGTCAACTCTACGGCTTATTTATCTATCACAGTTCATCTAATATCAAATAATAAACAATATAAATAACATAGAAACCTGATATATACTCCAGAATGCATAAAATATGTCATTATGTAACAGGTGGAGGCGGCCACAACCGCTCCCTCTTTGTTGTGGTAAACACTGCCATCTAGTGACGGCCTTTTGAAGTCATCTATTATAATTATTATGTAGTACATTATTATATATATATATATATTATTATTATGAGTATATTATTATTATAATTATTGTATTATATTATACTATTATTTTTATACAGTGGAACCTCAAATTTCGAACATATCACTTATTGAACTCTTCGAAAATAGAACCCTTTTTTCGAACCAACTTTGTCCCTATTATCGAACTCGCCCCTATTTTCGAACCACCGGAACTGTCCGGCAGCCCGCTCTGTCTGTGTCCCCAAGCAGGTGCCGTAAGCCAGTCTGGTTTTGTTGATGCTCGAGTGAACACTAACCTGCGATCTCATTCAAACATTTTACGGTTATTTCATTGTGTTTAGTGCTTGTAGGACTGTGAAATAAGCTACAGTGGGAGCAATGAAACTTGCTAGTGGTACCCACAGATGTGAAGAAGGAAATAATACAGAAGTGGAATGATGTCCAAGTGGAATGATGTCCAAATGTTTGTGGAGAAGTACCACCCTGAGTAAGCTGAAACAAGCCATCTTTGCAACAAGTTCAGTGACAGAACCATGTCCCATTTTAGAGAAATCTTAAAGAGGCACCAGAAACAGAGGACTGTGGACAGTTAATTTGTGAGACAGGGGTCCAGTGACTCTCAAGCTGGTCCTAGTGGCGTTAAAAGACAGCGAAGGGAAGTAACCCCAGAGAGGGATTTGATACCTGAAGTCCTCATGGAGGGAGATTCTCCTTCCAAACACTAACCCCAACTTCCACTCTCCTCCTCCCTATCTTCCCAATGCCATCACCAATCTTCAATAAAGGTAGGTAAAATGTTATTTTATATGTTTACTTAAATTTATTAATAAGTAATTGAACACTATCTTTGTTGTGTGTATGTAAAACTATAATTAATCTCTATAAAATGTATTTTATTTTGTGAATATTTTTGGGTTTCTGGAACGGATTAATTGTATTTCCATTATTTCTTATGGGAAATATTGCTTAGCTTTTCAGACTTTTCTAATTTAGAACCAACTCCTGGAGCGGATTAAGTTCGATATTTGAGGTTCCACTGTACGTATTATTATACATATGATTATTATTACGTTAAGCATCTTTCCATCATACATTGCCCAAGTTTCAATAAGATAGTTCAACAAACAAATGAGATACAATTCCCTAGATCAAGAGCAAGAGCCCATCACCAGCGTGAAGGCACCTGCCTTGAGGTCTGCTCACTTATGGAAATTTTGCTCGCATATGGAAGCAAAAAATTGACCCATCGACTGCTCGTATTTGGAAAAATTCGCACATGGATGCGCTCGCAAGTAGAGGTTCCACTGTATTTCGCATGAAAATCAGTTTTCTATGTTTTCGACCAATTTAACCCTTTGAGGGTTTTCGTCGTACTAGTACGTCTTACGCGTAGGGGTTTTTGACGTACTAGTACTCATAAATTCTAGCGACCTCAAATCTAGTGGGAGAAAGCTGGTAGGCCTTCATATGAAAGAATGGGTCTATGTGGTCAGTGTGCACAGTCTAAAAAAAATCCTGCAGCACACAGTGCATAATGAGAAAAAAAAAACTTTTTCCATTTTTTTTTTAATAAATCAGCGACTTTGCAGTGTATTTTCGTATGGTATTTATTGTTGTATTCTAGTTTTCTTGGTCTCATTTTATAGAATGGAAGACATATTACTGAAATTGAGATGATTTTGACTGGTTTTACAATGAAAGGTGCCTTGAAATTGAGCTCAAAGTAGCAGAAATGTTCGATTTTTACCAAACTTCAAAAGTAAACAAATCGTGCCAAGCGTGCAATACACGTCAACTGGTGATCTAATATTCTTTCACAAGTGCACCAATAAATATTTATACCATTTTTACACTAATGCAGTAGTCTGCATAACAGTAAATCTTATATTTTTTGTGAGAATAAAAATTCAAAGTGGAAAGCAAAAGAATATAAGAGGGGCCTTGAGATGTGACTAATGACTAGAGGAAATGTCATTTTAGTGCCAGGAATGTCTTTCTTGTTTATTCTGGACCCTATTCCGAAATTGGCATCTTTTGAAATTTGTGTGAAATTGGCAAAATTGCTAAATTCTGACCACTGTACTGGATAGTTGAATTTATAAATGGGTGGTTTCTTGCACCCATTCGATAGAAAAAATGGAGTTCTAGCGAAATATTCATGTTTTTTGTCGACTAGTACAGTGAAATTGGCCGAAAATGGGGCTCAAAGTGGGCAAAATCGCCGATCCGTAAACATCGCCGAGACCGCTAACTTTGCGAGAGCATAATTCCATAAGTTTTCTATCAAATTTCAAACTTTTGGTGTCGTTATGATCGGGAAAAGATTCTCTATCTTTTCATAAGAGAAAATAATTTTTTTTTTTTTTAAATTTGGCCGACCCTGAGAACGAGTTTCGGAGAGGGCCTGTCGACCCTCAAAGGGTTAATCTGGAACTGAGTACGTACCTATTCTTTCACCAACCCTCATTCAAATTACCGAAAGATATTTCTATGATACTAAAACAAATAATTGACATAAGATTTATTAAATTTTAAATAAATTAGAACTTAAATTACAGTATATATATATTATACATTTTTATAAAATAACAATAAGTTTACAACTACAGTAGGGCCCCACTTATACGGCGGGTTAGGTTCCAGGCTACCGCCGTAAAGCGGAAATCGCCGTAAAGTGGAACACCCTTTTTTTCCACTTATAAATGCATACAAACACTAGATAACAAGTTTACACTAACATATATTAAGTTAGCAATAGAACCAGGCATCAAAAAACAATAAAAAGGTACAATACACACATAGTGCACTCATTACTTACCTTAAAATATTTATAGTCTTAATCTAGGGTGAGACAAGTAGTATTTATTGTAAGAAATCAAGTGTGGTATGTATTGTAATAGCCTCACCAGGCCACCCCACCCACACATACTATTCTATGATATTTAAGCATCCCAGAGCGATAAAATGTATATACAGTTCACTCATTACTTACCTTAAAATATTTGTAGTCTTAATGTAGGGTCAGGAGTAAGTAAATGAGATAAAACGAATAAATGAGAGAGAGAAAGAATGAATACATGAGAGGGGCAGGCGCAGTTATGTAAACAAACCAGGGGAAGGTAAGTTTTGTAAACAAACGAAGTGTACACGTCTGGTTTGTGTACAAGTTACATTGTGTACAGGTTGTCTCTACATTGATACGGTAGAATTAATAAAGAAGAACACTCCCATTCTCATGTAACATCATTTTGAGAAGAAATGAAGCTCTGAGTGAAGGCAATGGAAATAAGTCACACTGACTTTTTTGGGTTATCCTAGGTTCTCTACACGTATGTTGTTATGTATGATAATCTATGTAACTGTATTTGTGTATACCTGAATAAACTTACTTACATACATACGAAAGGAATAATTTTCTACAGTTACCCCCAGTAACACATTTACTCTTATGTTAGATTAGAGAAAATGTTATTCTTGGCGTCACTTGTACAAGTTATGTGGCTCCCACATCTTATATTTATGTTTATTTATTCTATTGTGGGGTGTATTTATCATCTTTTTATGTTATGTATCGTGTTTATTATATAATTTTGAAAAAAATATCATGGATGGATTAATGAAAATGTGTATATTACCGTAATATACGACATTTAATGAGACTCGGTATTGTTATTATCACCACTTGTGCAAGTCGTCTGCTACGACATCTCACATTTGTTTATTTATTCTACTGTGGGGTGTATTTATCTTATTTATATGTTATGCATCGTGTTTATTATATAATTTTGAAAAAAATATCATGGATGGATTAATGAAAATGTGTATATTACCGTAATATACGACATTTAATGAGACTCAGTATTGTTATTATCACCACTTGTGCAAGTCGTCTGCTCACATCTCACATTTGTTTATTTATTCTACTGTGGGGTGTATTTATCTTATTTATATGTTATGCATCGTGTTTATTATATAATTTTGAAAAAAATATCATGGATGGATTAATGAAAATGTGTATATTAACGTAATATACGACATTTAAATGACTCGATGTATGTAAGTTTATTTAGGTACAGGTATACATAAGTATAATTATCAGAGTATATATAAAATATGAAATAACTTTTAAAAACATTTGAAATTTTGGAGTTTCCAGACAAAATGGAGAGACTTAGTGCTTACTGAGCTCATGGAGAATGTAAACAAACAGGGTGGGGCACGGTGACCGTATTAGAAAGTCAGGTGGGGGGAGCCGTATAGTGAGTTTTGGTCATAATTTGAAATGTCCGTATTAGCGGAACGCCGTAAAGCGGAACGCCGTAAAGCGGGGCCCTCCTGTACTAAATCATTATTATAATTATTACATTTATGGGGAAGCACTAAATTCATAAGGGACATGCAGTGCTTGGGAATGAGAGGTAATAAGGTTCAGTCCAAGGAAGGAAAGGACAAGTCCAATTCCTTAGGTCAAGAGCCCTTACCAGCATTAAGGAACCTCCATTAGAGGTACCACTATCAAATACTTTTTTATGAAAAACATAAATAACCAGTATAAAAAGCCTAAATAAACACAAAGGATTATGCTTAATGTGGCAGAATAAACTCTGGATGCAATGTAGGGGGATGGGCAGGGAGAAGAGCTGAAGTTGTATCTTCATCCTCCCCTGATGTGGGGACACCCTCCACCAGTTGATACTGTGTCACACCTCCAACTGTCTGCTGCAATACTAATCGTCCATCAGCTGTCTGTAGCAGCACCTCAGAGCCATTTAATAATGGAGTGTCAGTAGATACAGTGTCCTGACCTTCACTTGTAGAAGAAGCATCCACTATATCAGAATGTTCCTCCTCATTTCCACTTTCTGCAAACAGTTGCTTTAAAGGAGCTGCATCTTCCACAACAATCTGAATGTCAGAATGTGCTGGTTGCTGCAGAAGATGCTGAAAACTATCATCCATGCTAACTAGTACTTGCATGCCTTCATCACCAGCTGGTACAGCTTGAACATCTTTGCCACTTTCATTTAGCCTTTGTGTGGCTCTATTTTCTTCTTGTACGATGACATACTGCATCCCACCATCAGTGCCTGTTAGCTGTAACACTGCTCTACTTTCCCCTTCATTCAAATTTTGCTGTTCTTCAGCATCACCTTCATCATCCAGGTCATCAGCATTAGCTAACCCACCAGCCAACTGCAGGATGACTGCTTCCTGACACTGTGAAGTTCCTACAAGATGGTCTCTCATATCTTCCTCTGTTTGTGTGGCATGAAGGCAGCCAGGGCACTGCCATACATCTGCTACTATTGCTGATGTCTCCCCCTCACAAGTTTCTTCATCGGCCATAACATGAAGACGAAGTAGGGGAGTAAGGTCTTGCCAACTTAGAGCTGAAACTTGGTCCAAAAAACTAGTAGTAGTTGTATTAGGGTCCATTATCCCAGATGAAAGTGAAATTTCTGTAACTGCAGATGGTGTTGAACGTGTCTTAATAGCATGACCCTGTGCTTGAACACCATGAGTGGCATGATCCTGAAGGTGACGTAGCAAAGATCCTCGCACCACAAACATTTTGCCACATACAGAGCAACGCCAACGATTAACCACAAGATGTGGAGCTGCATCAGCAAAACCATGCTTTCCTCGTATGTGACGTAACAACTGGTTTCGTGTGGTTGTAGAGTGCTGACACACTTCACATTCATAAGGTTTTTCCTGTGTATGTGTTAGAAGATGCCGTTCCAATTGTGCCTCACTTCTGAAGGTGCGACCACACTCATCACATAATAAAGCAGGCCTACTCATGTGTGTTGCCATGTGCCGAATTTGATCAGATTCTAAGCCAAATTTACGATCACATATAGAACATTCATACTGCAGTTCATGATGCCGGCGAGCTACGTGGTTTCGTAGCAAAGCCTCTGTTCGGAACATTTTGTGACAGCCATCTGCATGGCAAATGTTAGGTGTGGTAGAACTATGAGTAATTAAATGTGCTTTCAAATTAACCTGTTTAACAAAAGACTGGTTACATATATGACAAGAATGAGACATTTCTGAATGGTGAACCATTAAATGGTTCACAAGAGCTTCTCTTGAAGTGTATACATGACCACATGATGTACAAGGAAATTCTTTACGATGTTTATGTTTGTGCAAGTCTAATTCTTGCTGTGTTGGGAAAGTTTTACGACAATAGCTACACATCAATTGCCCTTCAGAATGAGCTCGTACCAAATGATCTTTTAGTGGTCGCTGGCGCTTAAATTGTTTCTGACATATGTGACAGACAAACGCCTTTTCTGATGAATGGGTGATCATATGGTCATCAAAGCGGTGGCGCTCAACAAATGACTTGTCACACAAAATACACTGATATTTAACAACATTTTCACCACCATGCTCAGCACGTTGATGCTTCCGATAATATTCTTGAGTGTCACACTCTAAACCACAATGTTCACACTTCCACCGTTTTTCACACCTCTCTACATGTTCATTGAAATAGCCAATGGATTTGAATTCTCTTTTGCATACTGGACATGGCTGAGCTTCCTTAAAAAAGTGACTTTTGAAATGTTCACGCAAGTTGCTTTCCATACCAAATTTTATTTTACAATCTGTGCATTCAAAAGTCTTTTCTTCCATGTGTAACCACAAGTGTTCTTCCAAAGTATATATGTTGTCAAAAATCTCTTGGCAAAAATCACATCCAATTTTGTGTTTTTTTGGATTTTTGTTACCTAGCTTTAAAAATTCCTCATAATGTCGATTCTTCATGTGCTTTCTAAGCAATGTACCCTGAGCATATGCCTTATCACAAAGGAGGCATTTGTGTGGCAAATTTCCTTTATGACTTAACATGTGTGTCCTCAAAAATTTTGTTGTAAGAACCTTGTTGCAAACTGGGCAATTCATTTTCTTGGGAAGATCTTTTACTCTCTGGCCCTGTAGAGGATTGAGCATGTCCATTTCTTTCAGTCCTCCTTCTTGAGTCTGTTGTAGATGAAGAGTAACATCCTCAGATGGAATGGTAGGAATTGCATTTGCCTCTTTTCCTTCTTCTTTAACCTGCACGCTGCCATCACTAGCAATAACTAATACTTTGGAACTAACAGCTGAAGCATTATCTTCATTGCTTTTCTTAGTAGCATCTTCATTTGTCTGAACAAAGCTTTCACAATTGCTCACAATTTCTGGCTGATTGGTGTCATTGCCATTTTCCATATTACCAACAGGATCACATGTGTGAACAGTTTTTAAGTGATCCTCCAGTGCTTCTTCTTTCATAAATCCCAAATGACACAACTTACAAGAAAAAGCTCTGTGACTTTTACGGTGAAAACGAAACATATCTAAACAGGCAAACTTTTCACCACAGTGCAGACAAAGAAATAAAGCCTCAGTCTTATGTACAGAGATGTAGTGTTCCTCTAAATCTCTAGGGTCCTGATACCCTGCCATACACTGGAGACAGTTAAACAACTTTAGATTTAAAGCTTTGTGAACTCTAACCATGTGTCGGTGCATTGTACTAAGGCAGCTACTTTTATATTTGCAATATTTACATGTGTACTCTTGTCCATTATGCATCTTTTGATGATGGAGTCTAAGAGCCCTTGAACCATGGATTTTTTTATTGCAAAATGGGCATTCAACCACCCTGTTTGGTAAGGCCTGGTCTCTAATACGAATACTTCGGGAAAGTAATAATTTTTTTCTGCATGCAAGAGGGTGCATTATTTCTTTGTGATGCTCAAGGGAAGTTAACAAGACGAATTCTTCATCACAAATACCACAGTAATGCGTAGGGTCTTTGTCATGATGATTGCGGAGGTGACGTTCCAGTGGACGAATGCTATTGAATGTTTGAAAGCAATCAGTACAGCGGACTGGTTTGTGTTTGAGATGCATGTGGAGGTGGTGTCTGTCACGACCCCTTAGTGTAGGAAAGGTCCTATCACAATCACTGCATTTAAAGCTTTCCCTATTACTATTTTCCATTATATTAGTTTTGGCACGACACTCTCGAGCATGTTTACGAGCAGTTTCTTTACTGATAAATGTTTCACTACAAAGTTTACATCGATATTTCTTTAAAGCAGAGTCTAATGTATCTGTTGAATCTTCTATTACAATAGAGCTCAAAACTTCTGGGTCATTAATCACAGCACACACAGTATTATCTTCACCTGGGGTGATGGCAACCTCAATAAAAGGCATACTAACTGTTAAATCGCCTTCAACTTCTGCTACTTCAATAGATGGTTCTTTCAATTTTTCTAAGGATGCAGGAAATTCACATTTAATTTTAGGCCATTCTGCATCAATTTCCTGCTTGATTTCCAACTTCTGAGTGGGTAAAGAAACAATTTTATTAAGACTACAACAGTTTTCACTTTTTTCTTCATGTTGCGAGTTCATGTTGTCTATTGCATTAATAAAATCATCTTCGTCATGGTCAAATTTTTCAATCTCGTGAATCAATGCAGTTTCTGCATCAGTATCATTTCCAAAAATTTCTTGTACAACTTCATCTAAGTCTAATCTATCTTTCTCTTCTGTATGTCTCTCTCTGTTCTGCATACTTAAATCACTGACTTGTATAACACACATTTTACCTGCAACATTATCTTTAATTTTATCCTCAACTGCTGCAATAACATTAATGGACTTTCTCTTCTTGCCTGCACGTCTCTTCTTAATTTTAGGTTCATCCTCATCTTCATCTTCTATATAGAAGTCCTTCTCACCTTTCAGAACCTCTAGGAAAATATTAAATTTACTTGAACGTTTTCGTTTTTCTCGCTGATTGACCATTAGTGGTGGAGGCTCTGAAATGTTTGTCTTTTTCTTCTTTGTGGCCTTTGGTCTTCCTCTTCTTCTCTTAGGGGCATTATTAGGCTTTTCACTGCATTCCGTTACCATCATCATGGATTTTGCATCTGTGGAATCATTCTTAATGCTATTATATTGTCTTTCCAGTTCTTCTTTAATGCTGTCATTAGTAAAAGACTCTCCCATAACAATTGATATAGTGCCTTGGATGTCAATAGTTTTCTTAGACGAGTCTTTGATTTTGGTCATGATGTGACTGTCCATATCTGTTGTCATTTTCTGCAGTCTATCTTTCTCATTAAATAGTTCAGAGCATTTTATACAAATATAGTCTGTTGGTTTCAAGTTCTGCTGAAGGGCAGACGCTACAACTTCCTTGAGTGGTGTGCCAGTGTGGTCGGTAAAGCCTTCCAGGACAAGGATGTGAGGGTCATCACTTTTCAGATTAACACCACACACTACACACCCTAGGGACTCCATTCTCACTTAGCTCCAGGCCACTTCTGAAGAAAAAATGCAAGAATGAATGATAATTAACATGATGACAAGAACAATCTACAGAACTTTGATTTAAGTACAGTGGAACCTCTACTTGCAAGTTTAATCCTTCCATGACCTTGCTCGCATCTGGATTTGCTTCTTTGCAGAGTCAATTTTCCTCATTTAAATTAACTGAAATTGAATTAATCCATTCCAGTGGAATTCTGTACTTCAGTAATTTCCCAAATATCAACTCTACGGCTTATTTATCACAATTCAACTAATATGACATAAACGATATAAACAACATAGAAACCTGATATATAATCTAGAATGAATAAAATATGTCATTATGTGACAAGTGGAGGCGGCCATAACTGCTCTCCTATAGTTGTGGTAATCATTGCCATCCAATGACAGCCTTTCGAAGCTATTATTATAATTATTATTATAGTACAGTGGAACCTCAAAAATCGAACTGCTCCCAACACAACCAATTATGTAAGTGTATTTTTGTAAGTGCTTTTATAAGTGTATTTTTGAGGGTCTGAAATGGACTAACCTAATTTACATTATTCCTCATGGGAATAAATTCATTCGGTAAAGGCACTCAAACAGCCTTCTGGACCAAAGAAAGTTCGATATTTGAGGTTCCACTGTATACTTTATTATTATACATGTATTATTATACGTAATATTATTATTATATTACTATTATATTATTATTATACAGTGGATCCCCGGTTAACGATATTTTTTCACTCCAGAAGTATGTTCAGGTGCCAGTACTGACCGAATTTGTTCCCATAAGGAATACTGAGAAGTAGATTAGTCCATTTCAGACCCCCAAACATACACATACAAACGCACTTACATAAATACACTTACATAATTGGTCGCATTCAGAGTTGATCGTTATGCGGGGGTCCACTGTATTATTGTTATTATTATTATTATTATTGTTACTATTATTATTTATTACCATTTGGAATTTTTATTCACACGAAAATAGAAGATTTACTTTTATGCAGACTACTGCATTATTTACGAAAAGTACCTTGGAACTGAGCTCAATGCAGCAGAAATGTTCAATTCTTTGGTGATGTTCAACAGTAAACAAATGACGTCATCATATTGAAGGGTGGGAGCCTGGCAACCACCCTTTAATACCTATATAAATTCAGTTTTTATTAATTTGAGCATCTTGATCATACTTCTACATTATTTATGTTATACATACCTAATATTATTCTGGAGTAAATATGATAGTTAGATAACCTTTATTGTTAGTAACAGTATAATTATAAAATATTTTATAGTGTCGTGAGCTCATACCTCCGCACGCCATGGTGAACTATGAGTTACTGAGACTGCTTGCGCCTTCTCCCTATTTTCGTAAAGCTCCGCCTAGTGGAGGTGGTTGCTGGTGGTAGTAGTGGAGGTGGTGGCTGGTGGCAGTAGTGGTGGTGGTTGCTGGTGGTAGTAGTGGTGGTGATTGCTGGTGGTAGTAGTGATGGTGGTTGCTAGTGATAGTAGTGGTGGTGGTTGCTAGTGGTAGTAATGGAGGTGGTTGCTGGTGGTAGTAGTGGTGGTGGTTGCTGGTTGTAGTAGTGGTGGTGGTTGCTGGTGAGTGGGAGGTGGTCTGGTGTATGGAGGAGGTGGTTGCTGGTGATGGAGGTGGTTGTGGTGGTAGGAGGGTGGTTGCTGGTGGTAGTGGAGGAGGTGGTTGCTGGTGGTAGTGGAGGAGGTGGTTGCTGGTGGTAGTGGAGGAAGTGGTTACTGGTGGTAGTGGAGGTGGTGGTTGTTGGTGGTAGGGAAGGAGGTGGTTGTTAGTGGTAGAGGTGGTGGTGGTTGCTAGTGGTAGAGGTGGAGGTGGTTGCTAGTGGTAGTGCAGGAGGTGGTTGCTGGTGGTAGTGGAGGAGGTGGTTGTTGGTGGTAGTGGAGGAGGTGGTTGCTGGTGGTAGTGGAGAAAGTGGTGCTAGAGGTAGTGGAGGAGGTGGCTGCTGGTGGTAATGGAGGAGGTGGTTGCTAGTGGTAGAGGCGGAGGTGGTTGCTAGTGGTAGAGGAGGAGGTGGTTGCTAGTGGTAGAGGTGGAGGTGGTTGCTATTGGTAGAGGTGGAGGTGGTTGCTAGTGGTAGCTCCGCCCAGTGGCCGGAGCTTTATGAAAAAAGACAAGAAATAGGGAGAAGGCATGAGCAGTCTCAGTAACTCATAGTTCACCATGGCATGTGGAGGAGGGGTTCGGGATATTAGCAGTTTGGAGGGATGTATTGTGTATCTTTATACGTATATGCTTCTAAACTGTTGTGTTCTGAGCATCTCTGCAAAAACAGTGATTATGTGTGAGGTGAAAGTGTTGAATGATGATGAAAGTATTTTCTTTTTTGGGATTTTCTTTCTTTCTGGGTCACCCTGCCTCGGTGGGAGACAGCCGACTTGTTAAAAAAAAAAATTAGGTATAACATAAACAAAGTAGAAGTATGATAAGGACACTCAAATTAATAAAATCTGACATTATATAGAGGTATTGAAGAGTGGGTGCTGGGAGTCCACCCTTTAATACCCTTCATCGCCAAAGAATCGAACATTTCCACTACTTTGAACTCAATTTCAAGGTACTTTTCAAGGCAATCAAAATCATATCTATTTCAGTAATACATCTTCCATTCTATCAATTGAGACCAAGAAAACGAGAAAACAACCATAAAAACCATACTAAGGGCAGCTAATGGTTGAGAAGTGAACTCCGTTATTTATGGTCCAATTTCTTTCAATTTTGGTTTGCGTTAAGAAGCATCTTTCCATCATACATTGCTCAAGTTTCAATAAGATAATCCAACAAACAACTGAGATCCAATTTCCTAGATCAAGAGCAAGAGCCCCTCACTAGCGTCAAGGAACCTCCCTTGAGGCCCGCTCGCTTCTAGAAATTTTGCTCACACATGGAAGCAAAAAATCGACTGAGCAACTGCTCATATCTGAAAAAACTCACATGTGGATGCACTCGTAAGTAGAGGTTCCACGGTATTTTACTTTTAAGTAGACTGATTTGATGCTGTATGAAAGTTTTGTATATCAGGCATAAATACAAATGAAGATATTATTGCAGAATTTGTCAAAAATGAGATTATGTATATAATAGGCACATATACAACACAATACTCTTATACAGTACTGTATAAGAGTATGCAATGCGAGGTGGGAGAATCAGAATAGGAATAATTAAATTGTAAGTAATGTGTGGAATAGTGTTGAATTCAAACCCTGTCTGCTGCTCATTTCAAGGGTTTTACACTCACAGCCCAGCCTGTGGCTAGATTTCCTTGTTAAGGCTGAACCCTCATCTTTCATTTTCATTTTTTTTATTTTTCAACCGATTTATTTTATTTTTGGTGTACTTTTAGAGGTGCATATGTAGAAGAATGTAACAAAGTTTCAGTATGATTGGCCAACAAACAACATAGAAAAAAATATTAACATAATTTTGATATATGGCAGCATGACCTGACAAATTGGCACTACGAGTGGCACTTCCGACATTCCCAACTGTTAGAATACAACTAGCACGACGTTTTTACATAGCCATTTCATCTAATGTATCTTATTATCATGTTAAAAAAAATACATTTGACAGAATTTTTGGCATTTGCCAAAATATCTGCCTTTTACCCCCCACAAAATCAAAAATATTTGAGATATTCCAAAAAATCTTATGTTAAAAATTCAAACACACTTTGTTTTATATTGTCTGTGAAAATCATTTCAATACAATCATTAATAATGGAGTGGTAAAGCGAAATAAGTGAATAAGTTACTTCCGAGATATAGGCCTAGAACGCAGGCCTACCAGCCGTCAAAATTTTTTTTTTTCGCGGAAATCGCGTTTTTTTTCGGTGTATTTCTTAGTATTATTATTATTATAATCAAGGGGGAAGCGCTAAACCCGGAGGATTATACAGCGCCTGGGGGGAGATGTGGAAGGCATTCAGGCTTAATTCGGGGAACTGGAGCACAGATCCAATTCCTTAAATCAAGAGCCCCTCACCAACATCAAAGGAACCTTCCTTGAGGGGTATTTCTTAGTAAACTAATGTTCTAGTGCAGTTATCCTCTTCAAAACACCGTTTTCTATCACTCATAGACCAAAGAATACAACATGGAGACGACGAGTAACTCTTTTATATCGAAATATTGCTACCTACATCGCCGCCACCATACCTGATATAAATGACTATAATTTCTTGTAGAAACATTGTAGAACATTGATTCTTGTACCATTGTGTTGCCAAAGAGTTAAGCTATTTTTCTGTATGAATAACTTATTTCCATAATTTTTCAATTTTTTTTCTTGAGAGCACTGAAACGGCTCCCGCCTCCAACCTTAACTACCTGATCAACCAGGATGCTGCTGCCAGTAGCTTGCAGTGCATGCCTATATCTGGCAGATAATGCAGAAATTGGTCCAGATTTTTCCTGAACATTTCTATGTTTATTCCATAAATATTTTCAATATGAAGTATTGACCAAAGTGAGGAATAAGGACTAAGTAAATGAATCAAGTAAATGGGAAAGAAAGAAATGAGGCTTTCAGCAGAAAAGATAAGAAAAAGAGTACTACATTGCCTAAAGCAGAAGTATTGATAAAGATGAAAGAAGAGGCATACAGTCATTTGTCTGTGGGGTAATGAAGACACAAAGGAGGCAATGAAGGATAAAAAGAAAAAAGTGGCACATATTATCTGGTTACAGTGGAATCTGATCAAAAATGAAATGCAGTCATCCCAACAAATCTGTAGGGAGTTACGTTTCTACTGGTCCTATTAAACTACAAGCATAAACACAAAATTGTCTGCATAATAAATTTTGTTCAGTTTTTGCTGGAGACAATATCTGTGTAAGGCATTACACTAATATGGCTAATATTAACATTCATAGGAATTAATGACCAGAACAGAGAGAGATTTGGGAATGGTGAAGTCACTTAGTCAGATAAATGTTAAACTAAATACATTCACTGGTTGTACTTCAGTAAAAATGTTGGAAAACTGAATCTATTCACTGGTTGTCCTTCAGTAAGTGTGGGATAACTGAATTTATTCACTGGTTGTACATACTTCAGTACAAGTGTTTGTTAACAAAATCTATTCACTGGTTGTCCTTCAGTAAGTGTTGGATAGCTGAATCTATTCACAGCTAGCCCATCAGTGAAAAGAATTATATACCTGAAACCCACAAAACTGGAAGCTTATCAATTTGTAGGCACAACTGCATGTAAAAATTGTAGGTGATGTGATAAAGGAGAAAAAATATTGATAAAGAGAAAAGAAAATAAGGTTGTTCTTCAACTCTATACTGTACATCCTTGGTTAGGCCTCATTTAGATTATGCTGCACAGTTTTGGTCACCGTATTACAGAATGGATATAAATGCTCTGGAAAATGTACAAAGGAGGATGACAAAGTTGATCCCATGTATCAGAAACCTTCTCTATGAGGATAGACTAAGGGCCCTGAATCTGCACTCTCTAGAAAGACGTAGAATTAGGGGGGATATGATTGAGGTGTATAAATGGAAGACAGGAATAAATAAAGGTGATGTAAATAGTGTGCTGAAAATATCTAGCCTAGACAGGACTCGCAGCAATGGTTTTAAGTTGGAAAAATTCAGATTCAGGAAGGATATAGGAAAGTACTGGTTTGGTAATAGAGTTGTGGATGAGTGGAACAAACTCCCGAGTACAGTTATAGAGGCCAGAACGTTGTGTAGCTTTAAAAATAGGTTGGATAAATACATGAGTGGATGTGGGTGGGTGTGAGTTGGGCCTGATAGCTTGTGCTACCAGGTCGGTTGCTGTGTTCAATGTGACCTGACCTGACTAGGTTGGGTGCATTGGCTTAAGCCGGTAGGAGACTTGGACCTGCCTCGCATGGGCCAGTAGGCCTTCTGCAGTGTTCCTTCGTTCTTATGTTCTTAACACGTAGAGCATGACTGCAAAAAAAGGGGAAGAATTTATTTTTTATTTCTTAAGAGCCATATAAAGAAGTTGTAGTAGTTATACATTCCAATTAATTCTAATTTTGATTTTGATCTTAATACAAATATAATTTGATATAAATAAAGCTTCAGCAGAAAGCCACTAATCCTAAGACTAATATATTACTTAATTATAGATCTAATATACAAGTCAGTACAGCTGTATAATTCATTACACTCACAAGTGCAATGAGGCAGGTTGCAAATAACAAATTTGCCAATTACAAATAAATAACATTAAATTTCCATTGGTTCAATGACCTGCATTTTATGGAGTGTTTGAACTGTGGTGGTGAAATAAAAAAAAATGAGAATTTACAGAGAGATAATGAATATAACATTTATGAGAGATTAAACAGGTTCTTCTGAACAACACTGGTAAATATGTTGGCAGACGGGGAAATTTTTGGCATAGTCAGGCAGTTTTTTTTTATTTGCACAGCATTTTTGAACAGGTCGAGTTGTACTTTGGAATATAAAAGGAGATAGTTGTTCATTGTATTGTGTCCATGTGGTCCATTACAGCTGTCCAGATAAAATTTATTGTTTGAACTGAGTGCCTTGTAGACAGCATGCACATTAGAAAGTGTGGATATATTGTATGTTAAGGAAATTTGAATTTTTGGATAATGGATGTGTGTTGCTTAGAGCCTGAATGAGTAATTATTTCCAGAGTTGATTTCTGCTGCGAAACAACAGGTGTAGGGCACTTAGCTGTTGCTGATCACCTTCCACAAATACCATATGTGAGGTATGGATAGATTAGAGTAGTACAAAGTGAGCAGGGAAGTTAGCATGTTTATGGCTTGGTTGGTAGTGTTCTCAGCTCACACACTGAGGGTGGGTTCAGGACTGATCTCTGGCACAGGTGAAACACTGGGCATGTTTCCTTACACCTGCTGCCCCTGTTCATCTAGTAGTAAGTGGATACTTGAGTGTTAGTCAACTGTTGTGGGTCACATCCTGTGGGACAAGATTAACTTAAGTTGCCCGAAATGCTCTGCATAACCAAGATTTTTCTATGTAGCATGTCAATGATGTCAGCTAAATCTGTAATAGTTGTTTCATATAGAAATGAAGATTATTATTATTATTATTATTATTATTATTATTATTATTATTATTATTATTATTATTATTATTATTATTATTATAGCATATTTTTGAATGACCACTGTTTTGGAATTCTTTTTTAGAAATGTTTTGGATGTGTGTGTGTGTTGAATTTTAGTTTGCTGTTCAGGTGTAGTATTCCCAAGAATTTACCCTCGTCCTGCCTTTCAGTTGGTATAATGTTCGACTTTATGATCAAATGAACATACAGACACTCTTCACTTAGTGACATACTTGTTTACCGACCGCTTGGAGTTATGATTGGCTAACCAACCAGTCGGTATTTTATGCCGTATGAGAACTTGTGTCATGGAAATGGGCAGCACAGCACCTCAGCATCAAGCATCTCGGTCTCATTCCCACAACCACTCAGTACTCTAGCCTTCACATTTGTATTTTAACTTTCATATTTGTACAAATTTCTACTTTACTGTGCACCCTACAGTACAAGATGTCGGCAAAATGGAAGATCTTGACTATACCTGAAGGAAGCGCCAAGAAACAAAGGATGACTATCGATCTCGATCTTGAGGTGAAAATGAAGATTATAAATGAATATGAAGCTGGTAAGTAAGTGCAAGAGATAGCCCATGACTTGAAGCTAGTGAATTCTACCATTTCCACCATCTTGAAGGATAACAATAGAGCAAAAGAGGCACTGAAAGCATCGACAGAATTTCAAGCCATAATAACTAGGCAGCAGATTATTATAATCAAATAAAGTGCTAAACCAACAAGGGCCATGCAGTGCTGCAAGGCAGAAAACAGTGCCAGGGCTATAAAGAGGTAGGTGGAGAGGGGAACAGAGACGAGGGGAGAAAAGGACTGGAACGGATGCTAGGGGCTGTGTATCAAAGTTAGTATAGTAGAGCAGTTGCTGACAAATAGTCAACGAGTGATTGTAAGTCAAAGGCAGGGCTATGTGCAAGAAGGGAAGATAAGGTAAGAGCAGTAGGGTGGCAGCATCAGTGGAGATAAATCCTGCAAGCTCACTGGTAAACCAGACAATCCACAAGAAAGTGAAGAACCGAAATAGGGACCCGACAAACCTCACAGAGAGGAAGAGGGTGTCGTTCCATGAGATACCCTTGGGTAAGGCGGGTATGGTTGATGCAGAGACGGGAGAGTGCAGTCTCCCAAGCAGTTTAACCCTTTGAGGGTTTCGGCCGTACTAGTACGGCTTACAACCCAGGGTTTTTGACGTACTAGTACTCCTAAATTATAGCGCCCTCAAATCTAGTGGGAGAAAGCTGGTAGGCCTCCATATGAAAGAATGGGTCTATGTGGTCAGTGTGCATGGTATAAAAAAAAATCCTGCAGCACACAGTGCATAATGAGAAAAAAAAAACTTTGACCGTTTTTTTGGAATAAAACAGCGACTTTGCACTGTATTTTCGTATGTTACTTATTGTTGTATTCTAGTTTTCTTGGTCTCATTTTATAGAATGGAAGGCATATCATAGAAATTGAGATGATTTTGACTGGTTTTACAATAAAAAGTACCTTGAAATTGAGCTCAAAGTAGCAGAAATGTTTGATTTTTACCAAAGTTCAAAAGTAAACAAATCATGCCAAGCGTCCAATACAAGTCAACTGGTGAGTCTAATATTCTTTTGCAAGAGCGCCAATATGATTCATACCATTTTTTACACTAATGCAGTAGTCTGCATAACAGTAAATCTTCTATTTTTTGTGAGAATAAAAATTCAAAGTGGAAAGCAAAAGAATGTAAGAGGGGCCTTGAGACATGACTAATGAACAGAGGAAATGTCATTTTAGTGCCAGGAATGTATTTCTTGTTTGTTCTGGACCCTATTCGGAAATTGGCATCTTTTGAAATTTGTGTGAAATTGGCAAAATTGCTAAATTCTGACCACTGTACTGGATAGTTGAAATTGGTATATGGGTGGTTTCTTGCACTCATTCAATAGAAAAAACGGAGTTCTAGCCAAATATTCATGTTTTTTGTCGACTAGTACAGTGGAACTGGCCGAAAATGGGGCTCAAAGTGGGAAAAATCGCCGATGCGTAAACATCGCCGATACCGCTAACTTCGCGAGAGCATAATTCCATAAGTTTTCCATCAAATTTCATATTTTTGGTGTCATTATGATCGGGAAAAGATTCTCTATCTTTTCATAAGATTTTTTTTTTTTTTTTTAACCCTTTGAGGGTTTCGGACGTACTAGTACGTCTTACGCACAGGGGTTTTTGACGTACTAGTACGCACAAATTCTAGCGCTGTCAAATCTCGCGGGACAAGGCTGGTAGGCCTACATGTGAGAGAATGGGTCTGTGTGGTCGGTGTGCGCAGTAGAAAAAAATCTGGGACCCAGTGGTGCATTATGGGAATGCCATCTTAGTAAACAATATCCACCATGCCTCGCGGTAAGAAGTTCCTCACTCCTCGGCGAATTGGGACACTTTTGTTCCCCAGTGACAGTTCTAATACAGATGGAAGTGCCAGTGAAGATGAGTTTCAAGGTTTTGGTGAGGTTTTGACCGAAACTAATGACCATAATATGGGTAATAGTGAGGAAAACCCAGACAACCCTCAGCCTTCCACCTCTGGTGCTGGGCCGTCTTGTTCACGTTCAGTTGTACCAGAATCCAAGAGGAAACTTCTATTTTCCCAAATCCCAGACTCAGATGAGAGCATGGGTGATGATAGTGATAGTGAATATGAACTACAAGCTCTTCAAACTAGTTCCAGTAGTGATAGTGAAGTGCAATATTCCCCAGTGAAGCGTCAGTATATACGACATATATGCGCTCTGGTAGTGTGCCATATGCTATTCCAAGGGGAAGGAGTGCATCTCGGAGTACATCCCGTGGCTGTACAACAGGAACAGAGAGTGAAAATGATGATGATACTGTTGCAATTGGGATTGAAAATGTGCGTGGTGGTAGTGGTGCCGGAGGTGAGGCACCAGCAGTGGGCCATGCTGCCACCCACGCCGCTGCCTCAGCTGATCTACAACAAAGGCCACCATCCCCCACCCACCCACCACACCAGCCTCCACAACCACAACCACCTGTCATTGTCCAGTACCCACCAGCAGACCGCACCTGGGATTGGCAGGAAGCTGTCAATTTTGTTCCAAATGCCCACCAGTTTGATGACAGCCAAAGTGGAATACGGTCATCTTGTACACTTGGGAACAATGCCACTGAACTGGAATGTTTCGAGTTATTCTTTGACGAACCACTGATGGAAAGTATTGTCATGGAAAGCAACACATACTACGAGTACACCATGGCAAACACATTACTCTCACCAAAATCATGTCTACACCAGTGGAAGGAGGCAACTGTGGCTGAGATGTATCTTTTCTTTGCCACAATAATGCTTATGCCACATGTGTATAAGCACAAAGTGAAATCATACTGGTCAATAGACCGCCTGATTGCAACCCCAGGTTTCAGTGATATAATGCCAGTGAATCGATTTGTGCTAATGTTACATATGCTTCACTTCTCAGACAAAACCAGGCCTGACAGAAACGACAGGTTATATAAGATTAGGAATGTGTTTGTGTATCTGAAGGAGAAATTCTGTACTCATTTTTATCCCTTCAGGAAGCTTGTAATTGACGAGTCTTTGATTCTGTTCAAAGGAAGATTTTCTTTCAAGCAGTACATACCAAGCAAGAGGAAACGCTTTGGTATAAAGTTGTTTGTGCTTTGTGATTGTTACAGTGGTCTGGTATTGGATATTATTGTGTACACTGGAAGTTATACATTGCAAAATACCAGGAAGTTATTGGGCATCTCAGGTGATGTGGTTAGAACAATGATAGAACCATACCTTGGTAAGGGGCATATATTATATAAAGATAACT